TGACTGTCGACTTACATACTTTGACATCGTGTCCGGATCATGGTCGGAAGGGGCACCCGGTTTACCTACGAAACATGCTACTTCGTAGCGGCACGGCCCGTTTTGGATGTCTGCGGAGATTCTGTCTTAGCACACACAGTGAGTCATTCGGAGTCATTCGATGGCCAGAGTGCGATTGTGTGTGTGCGGGAGTTGGTTGTCGGGAGGGAGTGGCAGGCTGCTCACCCACGTGCACCGGGCCAGTGCTTGCACTTTGAATGCCGTGGGGCTCCTGCCCGTGTCCGGGTGTGGAGATGCGAGGGTCGCCCCCCTTGCCCCACCACTTTGTGTGTGTGGAGAAATCTACCTTTACCTTAGGCGGAGGAGCGGAAGGCGGACCATACCCCTCATACCCCGCCGTACCCCTCACCTCTCTCAGGCAGCGGAGGCAGCTGCTGAGGCGGCAGCGGCGCATCCGACCGCGGCGATTTGGAGCACTTGGAGTGCAGTCGGTAACCTCACATCCAGGGCCAGGGAGCTAAGAAGCGCACCCAGCGGGCCGGATGATCGGGATCGGGTTACGGGCTAGAGAGCCCTAGCCCCGGGGGTGCGCGGTCGCAGGGCCATAACACGTCTCCGAGGGACCACGATTTTTTCATTTCGGCGCGCCTTTGGCAACCTCCTTCCAAGCACGGCCGGGTCCTTCCAATGAGCGGGCGCGTTGCGCCACTAGCAGCACACATGGCCTGCGCCTCGACGCCCGTCATCACACCCGGCCGCCTCGCTGCAGGGAGCCATCGTGCAAATCCCTTTGCCCTATCTGCCTCGAGGCGCTCCCCGCGCTCGCGGGCCGGACCGCTTGCCCGTGCGGGCATGTCTACGTGCGGCCACATAAGCTGCTCCGCACTCTCGCTCTCCCCCCGCAGTCCACGCTTCAGTAGTAGGCAACCTTGCAAGATCCGCACTCTCACCCGCTCTCGCCCGCAAACAGTGCTCGGCGTGCATCCAGCGGTGGGCGGAGGTCTCGGCGACGCCCTACGCGCACGCCTCCTGCCCGCTCTGCCGCAGCGACATCGAGAACGCGCCGCCGGCAGACCGCCGCGGCGTGCTCTTTGTGCACATCGGCGAGCGCGCCTTTGTGCGGCCTGTCGAGATGGGTGGGCAGCGGCGGGTGGCGCGCGCGGCCCTCGAGGCGGCGCTGGCCGAGGCCTCGCACCACTGCCCGCCCCCCGCGGAGTGCTGTTTGAGGGCGAGAGCGGGGAAGAGTGCTCATCGTAGCAGGTTGGCTACTGCTGAAGCGTCTACTGCGGGAGGAGAGCGAGAGTGCGCAGCATTTTTTGT